GTGCACATTTACACGGATGGCTCGACTACGTCGTCTAGTTCAGGTGGAGCAGCGGTTATACCATCACAAGGGGTAACTCGGTGTTTTAAGACTTCACATGGGACAACGTCAATGACGGCAGAACTCGAGGCTCTGCGCAGTGCACTGGAACTCATCAATTCAGAAGAAATACCAGGTAAATGGACCAAGTTTTTTGACTCAAAACCAATGTTACAGTGCCTGCTATCAGTTGTCCGACGCGGATGCTACGACCAGTTGACATACCAAACTGTGAAACTTCACCACCTTTTAATACAAAAAGGCCATGGCGTCGTCTTTCAGTGGTAACCTGGGCATTGTGGTATAGGCGGGAATGATTCTGCAGATCATGCTGCTCGCACGTCACATGAAGAAGCAAACAGCGTTCCCATTCCGCTTTCAAGAGCGGATGCGGCGAGGCAGATTCGTCAACTGGCCCGCAGGCTCACACTGACTGAGTGGAACACGCCAAGCATACGACGTACAAGACTGCACGAGCTTGACCATTCACTACAACTCCGGCCTCCACTCGGCCTACATCGACGTGAAGCTTCGCTTCTCTCTCGCCTTTGGCTGGGAGTTGCTTTCACGAAAGTTTATACTACGTTAATCGGAATTACTGACAGTGCGGCGTGCGATGTTTGCGGCACCGACGAAAATATCGAACACCTGCTGTGCTACTGTCCTCGATTTGCCTCAGATAGACAAGTACTTGCCAACGCAATGCGGTGACTGGATGATCGGCATCTTTCTGTGCATGTGCTATTACAGAAACGTCCACATGCCACGACAGCCCACAAGGCAGTGAAAGCCCTGCTGTGTTTCCTGAGAAATACAGGCTTGTGTGAACGCCTCTGACATGCGGTAGAGTTCTATACGCTGCAGTGAAATTACTGTCAGTCTCTCCCCCGCCCTTTTTTTCTTTTCCCTCTCATCCCTCTTTCTCGTATTTCTTGTCCCCTTCCCTAATCCCCCAGTGTAGGGCAGCCAACCGGATTTCTTTCTGGTTAACTTCCCTGTCGTCTCCCTTTTGTTGCTTCCTCCTTATGTGCATTGATGTATCTGGACAAGATGCTAATATGAGAACTGGTTGCTCATAGTTGTTTGATGTGGCCACCACTAACTTTCGAACTACCAGCAGCCGCAGTAACAGGCTGAAATGTTGCCCATCACGTTGGTTATGTGAAACGTAATGCTGAAGCATGTGCTGCAAATCTTTTGCTTTGAGGCAAGTGTTACAAGGTGGATCGACGTTAAGTGCAGTAGTATGCACATCGTGGACTTACCAGGACGCCAGTGCAGTGGACGCCACTGCACTGGCGTCCACTGGTGACTATCCTTGGTAACTGATGTTCTTGCATGACATCAGCGCTCACGTTAGAGCCAGACGACAGTATTATTGAAACAAAGTGCGCTTTATGCCGTGACAAGGTGAATACACACGAAAATTTTTTTAACATATTTTCCCGGGATGGAGAAACGTTCAAATATAGCTTGTTGAAACATAGGAATACAAATGTAATGTTTATTAAAGGGTTATAAAAGGGGAGTCAATATCAGAACCACAATTGATGATAGCCCGGCCTCACGCCTGTGCGATAGGTTAATATCTTGATAATTATTAGTTTGGTAAATTGGACAGCCAGCACTGCAAGCACCAATGAAGTTGCAGCGACTTCGACCGGTATAGTGTCTTTTTCCGAAGAAGTTTCAATATTTTGCATCGCTTTGTGATGGAATACCCGATTGTCACGCAGAACGCTTGGGTTTGATTCCTGCTGAGGTCCTGATTTTTGTCTTTGCTTTCGGTGGGTCTACACTGCCGATGACAGTTTCTCTTAACGCTTTCACATTTAAGTTACTGGTGTCTGCCCTCGTCGTTCTGGGGTACAAATCAACTGCCAGTTACCTCTGGTGCATACCCACGTACCACGGCTTGTGGTATATGGAAAGGAGCCCAACTTGTCCGGATTAAAGGGCTTGTCGACGTACACGACAGGATCATGTGGTGACCAGACATTCATATTTCTCAAACTATCGCATACCTGTTCTGGCCAACGCCAACTTAAAGGGGCGATCTCGAGAGCACCCAGATGTAGGCGGAGGGATAGAAAAAATAAAGAAAAAAAGAGAAAAAAGAAAACAGCAACACCCAAATTTCCTGCAGTGTGCTAAGAAATGCTTCGCACTAAAGAAAAAAAGACGGTTGAAAGAGGGGCAACACTGCAACAAAAAATGCAAATGGGTGCCAGTATTGCGAACAGGTACACATATACGGTGCTTTTATTTTAACTCGATAGCGTTAAAGAGCTCGTGTCTTTGTTGGCTGCTCATCAAACGCTATCAAAAATAAGAATTGCATCACCTGATAAACGGACGTGTTTCACGGAGTGACTTCACGCATTTTGTCGAGAATGTATATCTGCTCTAATCGGACCGCGCGCAGTAAACGAATGCCATTATGCGATAAAGATTCGGACAGTGTAAGTAAAAGGCAGAGAAAGTATGCACACCTACTGTGTAAATACGCAGAAATTATTCGATTGAACACAAGAACGCAATCAGGAGCGCGTCAGAATGAGATGGAGTAAACGAAAAAAAAAAAAAATGTGTGCACGTTGGAGATTCTGTGCGCTCTGAACTTCCGCTAGGCGACACCAGCAGGTGTTTTTGCAATCGATGCTGCCGTCCAAACAAGTAAGTTACATGAAGGCCCTCTAGGTGGAGCAATGCTAAGGACGAGCAAACCATTGTCATTCGCCCGTTTGTAGCCCGAAACGAGTGGGTAATCAATGGAATTTTTTTTAACGAGACATAATTGTCAACCTATTCGGCACCCCTACAATTTTTTTGGTCACCTGAAAAACTTTCCTTCCGAAAAGTAGCTCTTAGGGTCATTGTGGTTTCGCATTAAAATTGGGCAGGTGACATGTTTTTTTCTTTAAGAATACTTTGTTCTTCAACAATAAACTTGAAGTACAGCTGCATTTGCATCACAAAACGCTAAGTGCGAAAATTTGTAGTATTTAGGACATCTTTACTACCAAGACATGATGGTATTTCCATCAATACATCACCATATTTATTTATAAAGCTGTTATCGAATATCTTTTTTTTTGCATTGGACTTAAAATTGAATCATTTCGGTTACTGACAGCGATGGCCGCACTACGATATAACGAAATGCGTAAAAAATTACGCATTCAAATAGAAGGTGAATTTTAAAGATACCAAGCTCGTATAAATTATTCCGAAGCTACATCTTCTTTCAGCCAGTAGATGTTAATTGTTAAAACACATGGTTTGAACAGAGTGGTGTTTTAAAAGGAGTACTATTTTGTAATAAGGACACGCAATACTTACGTTACTATCTCCGGCCATAAAAAATCCCCTTGCCCTCACATGGTCGTTGACATCGCAGTTGCCTTGAGCATGGTTAAGCCGAGGGTTAACGTCGTCTCTCTTAATGTCACCGGTATTTATGGCCCTGTTAAGTGCTTAGCGCAATAAATTTTAACCAACGAACACAAGAGACGAGGACCAGCACCTATGTTTAACTGCTTTTATTACTGCTAAGACGCACATGTATATAGGTTGCAGAAAAAGATAAGATCGTACGCTTATCCAAGAACGCGGACAAATAAACAACAACAAAACAACAAAAACAAGAGACTGCGAGAAACCGCGTGATCACCCTGGAACACCACGTTCCAAAGAATTGAAGTACGCCAATTCTTTTTCTGTTATATATATATATATATATATATATATATATATATATATATATATATATATATATATATATATATATATATATATATATATATATATATATATATATATATATATATATATATATATATATGCTCACGGCTGGTTATTTTTCATCCACTTTTCTTTCTTCTTTTTTCTTATTTACATTGCATTGGTTCTAATAACTTCCCCTGTACATTCCTTGGCATTACTGTCTGTTAGACCTCATTAATATTGTGTTAAAACACGGAAAAAACGAGCCCTTAGGTATACACTTCTTTCTCTTTATATATATATATATATATATATATATATATATATATATATATATATATATATATATATATATGCGTCTTAGTAATAATAAAATCAGTTGAAAGTCAGCGCCCCCATCCTCGTCTCTTATGCTTGTTGTCTAAAAGTTTTTGAGCTGAGCAAAAAATTTCACACAGTTCACTGATCGCCTATCTTGCCACTCTTTGCTTGAACGCCAGGCACTCGGAATCTTCAGGTCGTGAGTGTTGTGCCGCTATCAGCGTGACGTAATATTTCTGGTAGAAGAATGAATTGCACGCTCCAAAATTTTGAGAAATGAAAGGAAGCAAGTTACGCGGTGATTGTATTTGTGAGAAAAACTTATTCACCGGCGAGTGTGACACTGCCTAATGCGAATTCTGAGCTGAGCTTTGGGTTAGCCGGGGCAACACCGATTGCGTTTAAGGTCATGGCTATCCACAGCAGTAGCAATGTAACATTTACTTCAGATTGTCATAGCTAGTGCCACTGCTCAAGTGCTACTCGCACTGTGCACTGCAGGCATCCCGAACCCAGCCAAACGCCTACCGCCTCGTCATGACGAGTGAAGCCTGCCGCAGTGCACGTGTCTGCCGTGTATGCGCGCGAGCTTCAACAAAGGGCCGGCCAGCACTCGTAACGGAGAAAGAAAGCGAGGTAAGAGGCCTTTGGCTCGTGATACCGACAGACTCCGCGTTCGCTTTCTTTCGCCCTCGTTCGCACTAACGGTTACGCCGATGCCTTGTACGGGGCTTGAGGACCACACGACATCCTCCCTGTACATAGGTTCTATGCATAAATATTCTTCATCATTTTCATCATCAGCAAGCAACGGCGACACCGCTCTGTGCAGGAGTGGACGCTGAAGAGCCGCGCTCTAAATAAATCGCTAGAGCGGGCAACTGTTTTTAGGGCGAAGAACAGAAAACAGAAGGTTGCATAGTAGAGGCACTTTTATTGTGTCATCGCTGCCTTTGGTCTGTTCAGGCAGCTGGATTAGCGGCCCACGTTCTTGTATTGCTGCGACACTTCCTTTGCCTTTTGTCCCTGGAAAACGATTGAGAAGAAGGGGGAGGGCAATTTTAGAGGTGAAGTGTTAAAGGAAAAGCAACCAGTGGGGATTGAGTTTGAATGGCATCGGGCGTGCTTATCTTTCCCTTTGCTTTCATGACTCCGTGTAAGAGAGTTTCTTTAGTAAGAGTAGAAAAAAATAATACTTCTCAATAAAATACGAGAGAACCATGGCATCTCTGTCAGAAACTCACTTGGTGTTCTGTTAAAAACAGGATGAAATTGTAATTAGGCAAGCATTTTGTCTTAAACACTTTATACCTATTGAGACAGACGGTAATGAAGTACCCGTGACTACAGGGCAAACAAAAAAAAACATATCTGCGAAAATTCTTACAAAACTCTTGCTGAAACGCTCGAGTATGACGTCCTATCTCTTTACACATTTAGCACGACGTTTTTACACAATCTATGGACTATTTTACAGGTGGGCTTTAGGGCCGCCATACTGGGCTGTTAAACATTGTTTTCTATCTTTAACAACTAGACGAACAGTCGTACGGTAGACGCATACGCAAGAAAACGGTTAAATTACTGCACACGATGTTTCACGGCATCTTCAATTCAGGTCAATATATAAAAAAATAAGAAAACGTTCTCTTAACAGTCCAAGATGGCGCCGCCCATATGTCTTAGGTAAAATAGCTTTTTATGTTTTAAGGTATGAATGGACTAATTGAATTTCTGTATAGCTTCGTATCAATACAGTCAGAATCATGAAAGTGTATTGTATTGATTGATATGTGGGTTTTAACGTCCCAAAACCACTATATGATTATGAGAGACGCCGTAGTGGAGGACTCCGAAAATTTTGACCACATGGGGTTCTTTAACGTGCACCCAAATCTGAGCACACGGGCATACAACATTTCCGCCTCCATCGAAAATGCAGCCGCCGCAACCGAGAATCGATCCCACGACCTGCGGGTCAACAGCCGAGTACCTTAGCCACTAGACCACCGCGGCGGGGCAAGCTGTATTGTATTAGAGAACAAAATGGAACAAAATGGAGAACAAATCCACCCTATTTGTAATTTCAATATTGATTTATTTCGGGTCATACTTTTGGATCTCTTTCACGTTGGACGGCTTATGCGAACGTAATGAGGGTGTTGGGGGTTGGTCTCTCGTCGTTTGCACGTGATATTTCCGTCCACGTTCCTTTCCCTTCATAGCACAATTTCTGCCCCTAATTGAAAGTGCCAATAAGTCCATACAACTTCTTACTGGACCCTTTACAGATTTAATATTGTGTAGCTGGAATTTCAGGAAATGTTATTGGAAAATAGTGCAATACATCTGCTGGTGCTCCGTAGCTGATAGATTACTACGGACAGAAAAAAACTCCTACTGTTGCTTCAACCTCATTACTGTATTAAATAGAACAAGTTGGTCGTTGTAAACTTGCCTATTAGCCTATAACCGTGTCAAATGGAGCACTACTTATCGCGATTAAGTCTAATCTGGATGAAATTTCTTATTAGCGATTGGTTGCATTCTGCAACTTGTGGAAAGAAAACAATCAGGATAAAGAAATTAGAAGCGAATCAGTCCCGATCGCGTTGCAAAGTTACCGTGTTTCGCCAGTATTATATGTACATCTTAACGACACATCCTAATTGGTCATTATATACCATGCCGCCTGCAACACGTCAAACTCTTCTCCCCTAACTAACAAGAGTGGCAAATACCACTGAAAACTCACTGTTTACGTTACACCAGCAGGCTTCTCACTCGTAAGTCGAGGAGCACGCTGCTTTTGCCCAAAGTTTATGAAAAACGCAATGCAGTCATCTCGCTGTCATTACTTACCTAAGTGAATGCGCGTGGCGACCGGGAGTACACTCAAAACACCAGAATCACGTCTTGTCCGGTCCTTCCGCTGTCGATGATTGAATGTCAGGAGTATCCTTTCTCTGGCACACTCTCTAGAATGCACAACTATGCAGTTACAACATCGCGGCGCTCACAAAAATGCCTACAAAACACGTTGTGTCGAAGTAGGAGGACAGCAACTGCTTGCCAACACTGTTAACATAGGACAGTAACAATAACAACAAGAAGAAAAACGAATCACCACCGGAAGCGTAGACACACACACAGCGTTTTTCCCAGCACAGCAGTTTTGAAGCACGACCACACACACACAGCTGTCGTGTCTTCCACCGCCTCCCACGCTGATTTTGGGATCCGCGATTGTCACCAAGCCTGAGCAACAACAATGCTACGCAACACGCCAACCATCGCTTCATTCTCCCCTGTCCAACAGTGTGCTTGTCAGTGTGACGTCACGGCCTTCGAATGCGTTAGCGGAGAAGGAAGAAGACGAACACTGCCTCCAGAGCTGTCCAGAAGAGCGTCCCGCAACCAGGTGCCGTTCTGCCTGCATAGCGGAACAGATACGTTGTTTGGAAAGGTAATTCGTCAACGGCTAAAAAAAAGCTATGCGTAAAGGAATGAGTAATGACCACAAAATGAACTTACAGATATAAGGCAACTCAAGCAAATAAAAGCAATAGAAGTACCTTGCCCATGATGACATTTCAGCCGTGCTCGTCCAGTTCGACAAGCACATTGATAAAACTATTGTTGGTATAGGCAATTTTGCTCAACGATTTATTTCCAAATCCATAAAATGAACTAACATTAATCCCTGGTAGGAACACCGAATACGTTGAAAGAATTTTGCTGGAAGATGAGGTGTGGGGGGTCGGAAGCATGCAGCTTTTTGCTCTGGTAGTTGATATTGTATATTAATACTGGATATATTTCAACCATGTTCAGAATCCTTGTAGGAGTACTTATTTTTGTAGGATAGAGGGTATAAGTAATTCCTTGTGAACGTTCTGCACGATCTTTAGCGGTGATCTTTTTTCTACACACATCAGCGCCAGTGGCTCGATGAGTTTGTTTTCGCCGCCTTTTTAGTTTTACTGCAACAGAGCACGCTTTACAGGGTAAAACTAACGGTTCTACAAGTATGGCAGAAGCTAGCTGATGCACGTGTGCGTGTGTGTGTCTGTTTGGGTTTGTGTGTGTGTGTGTGCCTTTTTTGCCCCCTATATATGAAAATACCTAAAAAGAAAATGGAGATGGTAGGCATCCCTAGGAGTTATGACTGGCTCAAGCCAATTTCACTAAAATGAAGAGGGGGAATTACCCAAGTTAGTACTTAAAAAATCACAGCATATCAACGGAGTGAATGATGATGAGCGGGGCGAAGCGACCATAGGTCCGTCCATGCTTCCGTCCGTCCGTGTGTCAGTCCGTGCGTTCATCCGTGCATCCATGCATCCATCCACCCGTCCGTCCGTGCATCTGTATGTATGTTCATGCGTGCGTCCACGTCCCCGGCCACGCCCACGTCCATGCGTCCATCCGTGCTTCCATCTGTCTGTCTGTCTGTCTGTCTGTCTGTCTGTCTGTCTGTCTGTCTGTCTGTCTGTCTGTCTGTCTGTCTGTCTGTCCGTCCGTCCGTCCGTCCGTCCGTCCGTCCGTTCATGCGTCCATCCACTTACAACGCGGACTCGCCCATTTAACAGGCACCGAGACGGTGCTTTACCAGCCGGGGTGATGATACGTGTTTAGAACTCTCATTTCGGCACAGCTGAAATGGCACCCGAAAGAAAGATGACGACAACGTGGTTGTTGTGGGTTGGTCTCTCGAGCTTCCCCCGTTGGCCTGCATGACTGTGCGCTCTTTAAGCCGTTAGCGAGACCTGCTGTCAGTGAATAAATCTTCCCCGTAACAATATTATCCTAAGCCCAAGTTCCCTTGTATGAAATGCATCATACAGAGGACTACGGAGTTGCTTTGAAATGTCGGGTTTATTAACATTTACCTGATACTAATTAAATAATTTGATTGATTCTGAATCCTGCTCTTATAGCTGGAAATAAAGTGGGATTCTTCACAATAAACAGAACAATGCCTTAGCTACTCCAAGTCGTCTGTGTCTGAGTCGAATAGAGCTGATGGTTGGATGGTCGTTCACAGGGAGTGTGCTTGCTTGGCTTTGCCACTGTTGTTGTTGCTCATAATATGCAGTTTACTTTCTGATTTGTTTCGCTGTTGTCGCCCCTAATACGTATTTTACTCTCTATTAACTTTTTTTCTTCTTTTGCAGCAGCAGAAATGGGTCACTTGTTATGCCTTATATTAAACGAGCACTGACATCAAATTTCAAGATCCGATGGAGGCGGGAATGTCGTAGGCCCGTGTGCTCAGATTTGGGTGCACGTTAAAGAGCCCCATGTGGTCAAAATTCCCGGAGCCCTCCACTACGGCGTCTCTCATAATCAAATGGTGGTTTTGGGACGTTAAACCCCACAAATCAACAAATCAAATTTCAAGATCGAGATATGCCCATCATTCGATCGCTTGGTATGCATAGGTCTTATTGGTCAAATTTAAATGGCATCCGTCGCGTGAAAGTTATTTTAATTCGATGTAAAACAGGGTAGAAAAGCTAAGGAAAAAAAACGAAAAATAGACTGCCCTGCGACATCGACATTATTGCTACGTGTTCGGTGTGATACATTCCACAAATACCATCGTGAGTGACGATATGGTAGTAACAATGACGTCGACAATCTAGGTTTGCTTGAAGCTGACCCCCGGCCATGCCCTCACTAATGTCTCTCCTTACTGTGTTAAAGCGTGCGTGCGATTCATCGTGTGGCGTCGACAGATTTGACATGTGCTCCACAGCCTGAGTACGATCATTCAGAGTGACACGTGCCAGAATGTTGGGGAACCGCTGCACAGAGAGAACCCCTGCGCATCGAGGCGCGGAAAAAATAGAAATTGCGTGGTTTTATGCCTTTTCAAGCCACAAACCTCAACGCAGCCAGTGGGTTGACTTCGTGCGCGCCGATGAATATAGGGAGTGGACGCTTAAGAAGAACAGCCGCGTTTGCTCGCTTCACTTTGCGCCGAGCTGCTACAGGGTAAATCCTGCGTTGGCGAAGGAGTCGGGTTTCACTGGAAGTACGAGGCCCCTTCTCGAGGCCGGCGCTAAAGTAAGAGGGGAAGAACGAGTTGGTGTTACTTAACCTAGCCGGCGAAAAACGCATGGAGGGGCTTTAGTCTACATCATCAGAGACACAGCTGGACTGACTGCACGTGCGCCCCTAATAGACAAAATGTCAGTGTGCGTGACGTCATCATTATAAATGCGAAGCATTTCTTAGCGAACTACGGCGACTTTGAGCGTATCTATCTATCTATCTATCTATCTATCTATCTATCTATCTATCTATCTATCTATCTATCTATCTATCTATCTATCTATTCTATCTATCTATCTATCTATCTATCTATCTATCTATCTATCTATCTATCTATCTATCTATCTATCTATCTATCTATCTATCTATCTATCTATCTATCTATCTATCTATCTATCTATCTATCTATCTATCTATCTATCTATCTATCTATCTATCTATCTATCTATCTATCTATCTATCTATCTATCTATCTATCTATCTATCTATCTATCTATCTATCTATCTATCTATCTATCTATCTATCTATCTATCTATCTGCCTACGAATTTTAGCTCTCCTGGCCGTTTCAATAATGGTATCAATACAAAATTTGGTATGGCATAACATGACTATATGAAGATCATATTTGACTAGTCATAACATGAAAATCATGACATGTATGTCATGAATATCATGATTCACACTTCATGGTCCTGCAGCTCTTGTGGTGGTTTTGTTCACATGGCATGTTGCAAAACTGGCATGGCATGACATGATTGCATGGCGAACACAAGAGACAGACCCTAACATGAAAATAATGACACGCGTGTCATGTAACAACACGACTACATGCCACGCTCATGATGCACTCGCGGCCATTTCGCTAGCGTCACATATACCAAATTTGGTATTACAGTACGTGAATACATGTGTGCCTGGTGAAAACATGTTAATCGTGAGATGCGTGTCATGTAACAACATGACTACATGCCACACTCATGATGCGCTGGCGGCCGTTTCACAAGCTTCACGTACCAAACTCGGTATTACGCGACGCGAACGGGCGACATTGGTAAATGACACATCCAAACATGATAATCACGACATGCGTGTCATGTAACAACATGACTACTTGCCACACTGATGATGCGCTCGCGGCCGTTCCGCAAGCTTCACATATGCAAAATTTGGTATTACGTGACGCCAATAGAAGACGAAGGTATGTGACTGGTGCAAACATGATAATCATGAGATGTGTGTCATGTGAGAACATGACTACATGCTACAATCAAGGCGCCAATACTTTTCGACGTGACGCGGTGCACGTGCTCGCCGGCATTCATTTCGTCGCGTCATGCCGGCGTTGCCACGCTAGGCGCCGGTCCTGCTATATATTCGCTGACGCACGCCGCGCTGCATTGCTTTGACGGATGCGCGTTTCAGCGCGTCCGACGTCCATCCGTCACGAAAAGAGGGAAACGTAGTGTTATCTGAGTAACCCATCAGCGCGAAATGCAGCATGTCGCGTTTTGCGCCGGTTGCTGTCGGGCCGCGCCGACGGACGCTGGTCGCGCCTGGCGTCAGACTATAGAATCCTCGCGTTTTGCTAACGTAGCGTCGCTGTGCCCAGCGTGCGCGCACGTTAACCCTACATGGAGTATATTGGGGCCCTTCATGATGTGCTCACGGCCGTTTTGCTAGGTCCACATATAGCAAATTCGGTGTTACGTGACGTCAATGGATGACGAAATATATGACTGCTGCAAACATGATAATCCTGACACGTGCGTCATGTAAGAACATGACAACATACCACGCTCATAGCGTGCTCGTGGCCATTTCGCTAGCTCCAGATATACTAAATTCAATATCACGTGACGTGAATAGATGAGGAAGGTAAGCAACACATCCAAACATGATAATCATGACACGAAAGACATGTACGGCATCATTTACCTCCACCTTGTAACGTTGTGCAGATTTTAATGTGACATATCAACATTTCTCATTCGTGCTTCGCATATCATCGATTGCCACTCTACGTGGGATCTGCCAATTTATTGTGAAAGCAGCATCAGCTGTGCAGCGGCCTCGACGTGGTTGCGAGGTAGTGCTGACAGCACTACAATTTCGCGGGCTTTCGATACATTTTGAACCACGTTCGATAGCGAATATATCAATCAAAATTACAGATATTCGTTCGTCACTCAGATGCGTTTTAGGTCGCAAATCGCGACTAGGGGGTCTATAGCTACTCGTTACTGCGAAAACCTTGATATGAGTAAATTTGATGTCAGTGCTCCTTTAAGGGCGAATTTCTGAGATGCCTTACTGTACGTAAAAGGTGACCGTTGGGGTCAGTGGCGTCAGTATCAACATGATTGACAAAGCCACGTGGTCACAGATAACGTCCCTATGGCGTACTGTATAGCGTAAACATGAATCTGTGGTAACCAAAATTTTTGACGTCATAAAGACGCCATCATGATGTGAATATGATGTTACATATTGTCTAAAACTGAAATGTTAAATCGGATGTGCTGATTGTGTTGTAAATGAATGTTGGGTGATTTCTGTAATGGTTATTCAGTTTTTATTCTTTCATGCATTGCTTTGTTATGAATATTTTTGTATGTATTTTAGAGTTGTGATTCTATTATTTGCTGTCATGGGCCACATGCGTGTTTCTTTTTGTATTGTCGCTTTCCGCTGCCTGAAAGTTTTGTAATTTTTTGTAAATTTGTAGTTTAGATTTTTTTTCTGGGTAAAGAGGCCAGTCAAGCTGTGAAATGCAGCTTTTTTCCCTTCGCACCAAACCACGTATACATTGTATTTTTGTGTACTTGTCACGTGGTTGAATAAACTCAAACTCAAACTAGTCAAGATGTCAAGATAACTAGTCAAGATTTTCTAGTCAAGATGTGTCTTGTTAATTTATTTGATAGGAAACATGCATTTGTTTGTATTTGCCACCACTCGAATAAAGACTGTTTATATTTCTATTCTTTTATTCACACTTCTGGCAGTTCCTGTTTGATTATGGTACCCGTGTAAGATAACACGTGATGTTGTAATTTTCTGAGTACTGTACTTGCGGTATGTTTCTGCTTTGGTGCCAGGGTGGCACGACCTAGTCAGGCTTTTACTTAGCCATTAGTCGTGTCCCCCAAGGCAATCTTGTTCAATTTTGCCTTGAATAAAAGCAAACCAACCAACCAACCAATCAACCAACTTCTTTACGCAACATCGCCGTTTGGTCAAAAGAATGCCTGCCCCGGAGGCCATGAAAAATCAAGTAAGGTGCAGAAAGCTTTTTTTTTTAGAGAGAGATGGGGGTGGGGGGGCAGTGCACTAGAGTGAAAAGATCAAGAAAGATAGTTTTGACCTGCGAATCGCCTTGGATGAATGCATGCAAGATAATGGGATATATTTTTTTGAAAACATTCATGACAATGCATCAGTGAAGGTTGTCTGCCGTTCCAAATATATCACAAGAAGCTGAACACGCTTTGCAGGGTTAATAAAAAAAACGGACGTTGGTGCAGCGTCCTCATTGAGTTAGGGTCCTTTCAGTCAATTTCTTCCAATCAAGAAACTAACAAAACTAACAGCCCTTGATTTAGTTCGAAGCTCATAGACGGTTTTGCCAAAGTTTCGTCCTTGCGGAAGCATCCGCGACATTTAGACTACGCAAACACGAGGTGATCACGTTCTCTCATCATTGCTTTTTAAAGGCACTTAGTAAGTAAAAACACTACGGTGACGTTGTGTTCACTGAAATTCGGTCGGAAAAGCTAATGTCAGATCGCAATGTTTTTTTTTTAGGCTCGTAGATCCTTCACAGCTCGGAACAACATTTATCATACCCGAGTGGCTCTCCGCTATGTGAAAGCCTGGCGTCTGCTGAGAGGCGACGAGCACCGTCTCTTCGGAGGAAAGCGTGAGCAGCTTGGAGAAGGTGGCCGTGCAGCGCAGCCGCAGTTCGTCGTTGTGGTAGTGGCGCGGCTGAAGAACAAAGCGCAGCCGCACCACTGTTTCGCGCAGGCCGGTCTCAGAGTGCCTGCTCACCGGGTAGCGCGTCAGGTAGCTGCTTGGCATGTGCTGGTGGTATGGAAGCAAGGAAAAATGACAAAGCATGAGTGAAAGCTGCAAGACAGCGCATTTTGAACGCTGCGAATTACTAATTGCTGTGGAAGGGAAAGCTGTCATGCACCAGAAGTAGCTCGAAGGTACTAAAAAAATCCATGCTGCAAGTTGAGAAGAAACCATCGCGCACCTTCTGTGTGATTGCACCCATTTCAACGCGCAAAGACAAGAACTCACTGCAGCTCTGGATAGACTAGACGATCGGCCTTTGTCGGAACAAAGGATTCTGGGTCATTGGCCGAGCCCATCCTCAGCCCAGAAGGCTTTGAAAGCTTTTCTGCGCTTTTTTCAGACAACTGGCCTCAGAGACAGACTTTAGTGTCTTATACTCTTTGAGGTTGCCTTTCCTCTGTCGTATTTTTTTGTAATTTTTCTCTCTCTTCGCAACATTTCTTTTTAACATCTTTCATTCCCCTCACCCCTTTCTCCAGCACAGGGTAGCCAGCCAGTCTAAGAACTGGCTAACCTCCCTGTCTTTCCGCTTAAACTTTCTTCCATGCGCGTTTCTCAGAAATGAAGATTCATGGTTAACGAAAAGTTCGTCCCAGTTCTAGATGTTTTGTATTTTTTTTACCTAAGAAGCTTTCTTCAAGTACAAGAATCCGTACCACAAACGGGCGGGAAACATTCGTTTATAATTTCTCCTACTTTTACTCATAACATTCTTTTTCCTTTGAGGGCTGATACAGAATTGAGCAGACATTTCAAAGCATATGTCTTCACGAATGAATTCGTTCTCGTAAACATGAAAAGAATTATAGCAGTAGGAAAGGAAAATGGTAGGTGTAACCTTAAGAGACAAGAAGAAAGCAGAGTGGATCAGGGAACAAACCGGGGTTAAGGATATCATAGTTGAAATCAAGAAGAATAGACATGGGCCGGTCATGCTGCCCGTAGGCAGGATAACTACTGATAATTCAGGATAACTGACTTGATTCCCAGAGAAGGTAAGGGGGTAGGGAGAGACAGAAAGTTAGGTTGGCAAATGAGATTGTTAAGTTTGCGGGTACAAAATGGCAGCAGCAAGCACATGACTGAGTGTACTGGCTGGCGGATCATGGCAGAGGCCTTTGTCCTGCAGTGGACGTATAGTCAGGCTGATGATGATGGTGATGACAATGATGAAATTTTTATGCAGGTGTGTGTGATGTGTTCCCTTATTTAAATTTTGTGTAAAAGGCATGACAATGTGTCTACTGAGAGTCATAATTTTTAAGAAATCGGTGCACTTTTGCTGCCCAAAGGAAAGCCTTTTGTTTCATAAATGGCCGAGATACTCAACTTATACGCGCTTGGCGAGTGTGAAAATTGTTCGCCTTATTATCCAGATTTGTTAGGAGCCTGCTCGGCAAGCTTTAATGCTATTGCCTTGTCCAGCGACCGTCAGGGTGTACGTTGGTGTTGCTAGTGGACACTTCTCCGGTCACCGCTCAAGGTCACTGCTCCGGTTGACTCTCCTGAGATTACAAAATTACCCCCTAAATGGCGCGCCGCCACACAAGGCATTAGAGAGCCTTCATGTGCGCACCGAGGAGGCGGCACCAAAGAGGATTAAAAAAAATTGTTGGAGTGGAAGCTCCCGCAATGCTTTGCCAGCAGACGTGAAGCCAGCTTTTGCTCCTGCCAAGATGGCGGAAACATGCTCTTTTCTGATGGTGCCCACTTAAAGATCAAGTGGCTTTGATATGTTAGTGTAAATTCTGCGTTAGTTCTATATTAAAAGACAGTTTTTCCCGACAAAATAACGCACAGAAACGAGTATGGGTAACTGAAATTCCCAAAAACTTTGCCTCTAATTAGAGGCTCACTAAAGAAAACTAGTAACACGAAGACGCACTTGGAGCACTACGAGACCCGAAAAAATCGGCGTGCAAGAGAAACATCATCATCATCATCATCATCATCATCATCATCATCATCATCATCATCATCATAACCATCATCTTCTGACTACGTCAAGACAAAGGCCTCTCCCATGTTCCTCCAGTTAACCCAGTCCTGTGCTTGCTGGTGCCAATTTATACCCACAAACTTCTTAATCTCATCTGCCCACCTAACCTTCTGTCTCCCCCTAACTCGCTTGCCTTCTCTGGGAATCCAGTTAGTTACCCTTAATGACCAGCGGTTATCCTGTCTATGGTTGATAAGACAGATGCTTGTGCTAGTTGGTGATTAGGTATCAACATATTTGCACTACTATTAACTACAGAAGAGACAACGCGCTTTCTGTCCTTGACTTTTCTGTAGTTACGACGTAACTACTCGTAGTCTTGAGCTGTGCAAATATGTTGTATCCCATGCCCATTTCCGCTTCTTGATTTCAACTATGATATACTTAACTCCCGTTTGTTCCCTAATCCACTCTGTTCTGTTCTTGTTTCTTAAGGTTACATCTACCATTTTTCTTTCCATTGCTCGCTCCATCGTCCTCAATTTAAGTAGAACCCTCTTTGTAAGTCTCCAAGTTTCTGCTCCGTAGCTAAGTACTGGCAAGATACAGCTGCTATATACCTTCCTCTTGAGGGATAGTCGTAATCTACCTGTCATAATATGAGAGTGCTTGCCAAATGTGCTCCACCCCATTTTTATTCTTATAGTTACTTCAATCTCGTGGTTCGGCTCCGTGGTTATTACCTGCCATAAGTAAACATAGTTTTTTACAACTTGAAGTGCACTATTACCTATCTCGAAGCGTTGCTCTTTTCTGAGGTTGTTGTACATTACTTTCGTTCTCTGCAGATTCATTTTAAGACCCTCCTTTCTGCTTTCCTTGTCTAACTCCGTAATCATGAGTTGCAATTCGTCCCCTGAGTTACTCAGCATTGCAATGTCATCGGTGAAGCGCAGGTTACTAAGGTACTCTCCAATAACTCTTATTCCTAACTTTTCCCATTCTAGGCTTCTGAAAACCTCCTGTAAGCATGCGGTAAATAGCAATGGGGAGATTGTGTCCCCCTGTTGTACACCCTTCTTGATTGGTATTCTGTTGCTTTCTTTATGAAGCACTATGGTAGCAGTTGATCCCCTGTCGATTTCTTCCAGGATGTTTATATATACTTCATCGACGCCCTGATTCCGCAGTGTCTGCATGACGGCTGATATTTCTACTGAATCAAACGCCTTCTCGTAATCTATGAAGGCTATGTAAAGTGGTTGGTTATATTTTGAGTATTTCTCTATTACCTGATTGATAGTATGAATGTGGTTGATTGTTTAGTAGCTTGTTCGAAATCCTGCTTGTTCGTTTGGTTGATTGAATTCTAATGTTTTCTTTACTCTGTTAGCAATTACCTTTGTAAATAGTTTAGTAAATAGCGAGGGAAACACTCCTTTCTTCATCGCTGAAAGGTGACACTTTATCATGCCCTTAGTAAGATGGTCGCCACGGCCGCCTTCTTGCCAGAGGTACGGCTTCACTCGTAGGCAATGATTTCCGCTCCAGCAATGTTTTAACCCTCCTTGGGCGGGTTAAAACATAAATTTAGGGATTAACACATAAATTTAGGGATGTTAGTACCAGGATGACTCCTCGCGAAATAAAGAACTTCAAGCCGAGAAATTTTTGCGCACCTCATCGTCGTTGATGAACCACTCCAGTTCAATCTCATCGGTTGTCATGACAGCGCTGCAGTTCACGTCGATCGTGTGTCCCACCGAGTAGTACGGCTTCACGCCGGTCACCGTCGGCGCATTCTCCTCCTCGTAAGCTGCACAACAAAAACAAAAGTGCGATAAGCACTGCAGGTAATTCGTCAATGTTGCGAACATGTAAGCGTACGTTGCAAAAATTATCCTCTATTTACACTGTAGGCTCGTTCATAGCTCACAATCTGCACCACAGCTTCAAAAAAAAAAAACTGCGTTGGAACGCTAATGATGCGTAGCTCATGAATACACGCAGGTATACGAAAGGTTCGCCAGTGACGCTGTTGAGGAAAGGACGAGCCGCCGTGCCCATGGCGAAGCCCACCCGTGGACCTCTTCTTTATTCCGTATGCTGGTATAATCCCCTAACGATGATAGCGAGTTCACACAATATTTAACATCCTCCGCGCCCCCGCATTAACAGTTGTTGATGAAGAACACTAACACACACCAAATTCGAAGCACACGTTATTCAAGAGTACTTGTACATGTCCAGGTCAGTCCATGCGGAAAAATCCGTTATATCCAACCGCGCCTGCTTTTCCAGCGGTCCCTGGTTCTAAACCAGGCATCTAAAGGTCCCTGCTTCGATCCCGGGTTTCGACACCAAAATGAAGAAAAAAGGACGAGCCACCGTGAACCTGGCGAAGCCCACCCATCCTCCTATTCTTTATTCCGAACAGTCACCTAATTTCCCGATGATGATAACGTCGCTCCTCGTCTTCTACACAATTCGTAACAGACACCATTACGTTGCAGCATACATCGGGACAGGAGAGCTTTTCTCGTAGCATCCGCAACGTTCATAACTTAATATAAAAGTGCCTCTTTCGAAATATTGGCACAACACGTCAACAAACGTAGGGTTTAGTATTAGCGGCGACAGTTGCATTTGCAAAACGCGGAACGTCTCTGGTGCTAAAACAGCCGAAATTTGGCCGAGTCGCTCGTAGAATTTTCCAGTTGCTTGTCGTGTGTTTTTCGACTTATTTGCATGGTCACAGCAAATAGAGTTATTTCAGTGAAAATCACGTTCACCAATGCGCGTTTGCGTTCACTAATGGCGTGTTTTTCGATTACCTTGATTGTAGGCACGTCTATGGTTCTACATAAGGGGGGGGGGTAGAAAATGCTTCTCTGTGCTCCCCTCCCACCCTACTAGGTCAATAAATGTATGGGGCAGACTTTCCACCCCCTCCTTCACCCATTAAGGTGCCTAGAGGGGAGAGGGAGCCCCTCCTGACCCTCCTCTCTGCAGGCACGCGTACGATTGAGAGTTGAAGTCATACATGCGTTGGGGGAATCGACAAGTAACGTTAGTTACGGGCTGCCAAACGTTAATTCGACTGAATGGAGAATGCCCGGGAAAAAATGTGAGAAAGTAGTCGTGAGTCTTCGTTCATGAGATCGCATATTTCGCAATACAAAAAAATATGCTAATTTTTAGACTATCCTGCGTACTTCAATGACATTTACAAAATCACATTTAAAGTATATTGAAAGTTTGGAAAATTTCTTTATGTTTCCGCTTCATTCGGACCTTTTGATAAGTATTCACTTGCTTAGTTGGTATCATCTGGCAACACTGCACATACATCTTGCAGATGAGCCGATTCTAAAAGTTGAGAGTCAATGAGGCACTTGTATCCAGTCGTAGGCCACGAGACGCGAGAAAAATCCGAATACCCCCGCTATTTAAGTACGCCTGCAGGCGGCTTTAAATTTAGGTTTCCAGTGTGTTATATGAAAGAATGGTAGCGTACATGTGCTGCGCAGATTCCATCGATTATAATAATAATATTCCCAGATAATTTAGACCTTTCTCAGACTTAGGGGTCTCTACACTTTCGACGCCGACAGAACAAATGCCACTACCTAAGACGCAGTTTGCAAAAATGCCACGGACTCTGTCGCATAAACTAGTTCAGTTGTACGCTTCTCGGTGGATTGTGTAAGTGAGCAAAAGGAGAAAAACGAGAAGTAAAGCGAAGTGAGGCTAGTGACGTAAACGTGATTTCGTTTCAACAAAAGATAACTACGGGTGCCAGTACAGGCCTAAAAATCGAGCTTCCCCATCAGAAGTGAATAATTTCTCTTAGTTGCATGACAACGCATGGTTTCAATTCTATTTCGCCTATATTATAGGATAAAAATTTACATCGACAAACTGTTTCAGAAAGACTATTCTGAGATCACCCACTACATGTTCCAGAGCACACTGAATATTCCAATGCCGCCGAATGTAAAACCCCTTGCTTTCGTTTCAATGCTGTATTTTATATCAGAAAACTTGTACACACAGAGGTTGACAGTGTACAACTGGCTAGACTATCATTAGTGTGCTCGATCGTATTTTGCATGAAGGCTCCCAGGATAGCAACTACGGTTTAGCCGTTCTCAAAGATGTAAGATAGGGGGTGGTAAAACGAGACACGGAGCAAAACGCGACATCTTACCTTTGCTAGCCTCTGTAGCTAATACAAAAATTGTTTCTATTTTCCAGCAATAAGTGCTGGTATTAACGTACTTTTTCATGGGTAAAAGTTGATGATTGTTCGCAGCCTTCACGCTGGAAAAATTACCATGTAATTGTCGGTGTGTTAGTGACCCGTCCGAAAAGGGTAAAATTCCGCTCAACCAAATTTTCGGACTCATGCAGGAAGATACTCCAGTGCTATTAACAGGAGGTAATTATTTATTATGTTAATTTATACTTCTAGCTACTTACCACCAAAAGTTTAGTTCATTTGGTGTCGGCGACCAAAGTGGATTTTTTTTTAAACTCAGGTATGTCAAAGCGTCAAAACGCTACAAATAGGCATCAAATTACCTTGGAGAGTGTTTATTAATTGAATCATTTACTGACACACAATACATATTTCAATTATTTGTTTAGAAGGGTTCAGATGTACAATAGAATACTACAACAAATTGACATTAGAAAGCACCGATTGTTGTTGAGGACACGACGCACTTCATTCGCGCTGCGTCAAGGTTGTTCTGCGTTTTCAAGGATGCTCTCAAGAGACATAAAAAACTGAAAGAATCTTCAACTCAAGCCCTTTACAAACACGTTTTGGAATCAAGTTTTGATGAAATTTTTTATACCAATATTTCAAAAAATAGTAAGCTATAGAGAATACAAAATTCATCGCCTTGCAAAGCCTGGCTGACAAAGTTGAAAGCCACAAAATTTTTGTGCAGTTGTGTGTTAAAATAGCAAAAAGAAGTGTCAAAACATATCTAAATTTCAACCATTAAATAATCCCATGAAGAGCAAGCGTTCAAAAAAAAAAGACAACTTTAGCACAAAGAAACACTGACAGTGTTTGATCTGCAAGGAGCTTCTGACCAATGGAGCACCGCAGTCTGTTTAGATTCAATGCGAGAAGTGCCTACGTAGTGAATTTCAAGTGCTTCTACTAGAACAATTCAAGAGATTATTTTTTTCACATTGTCTCGTTTTGCCCCTAAGGTGGAGCAAAATGAGACATTTTGTGCTTTGATTTATTTATTTTTGTAATAAACTTTTGAACTGTGGCAACATGATCATATTTATGCACGTATCTGCATTGACGTTTAATTGTAAGGAGTAGGATAAAAGTTTATAATGACTATTTTCGAATTATTGTCTTGCTTTACCCCACCCAACCCTACCAGTATTATTGTGTGGCACCACGTAAAAAATAAAAAAACACAGCTGTAAATTACAAAGGACACACCACCGAATGATGAAACACACGGAGCTAAAAGGACAACAGACGTAAGTACTTTTTTCGCTAGCCAGGTGTCTCTGTGTGCCAATGAGCAGTTCCTGGCTGCTTCGAGAGTGGTTCTTGTTGATGGAAGAGGAACAGCGCAGCCTGAGCAAGCCGTGAGCCAGATGGCGGGCTGTGATCTGGAATCGTAGTGTAGACACCGATGCCTGCAGCGCGTTGGCACGCCGGTACGGTCCCTTGTGCGTCACCTGGTGAGACGGCGCCTGTACAACCACGGGAGAAAAAAAAAGGAATGAAAGCAATGATGATTCATTTATGGGAAGAACGATAAAGGAGAAAAAATAGTGATGGGCTGTAAGTAGCTGCTGATGTACTCCGTGAATCGAGATTCATTTTTATTGATTGATGAATAGGGGTCAAACAGCTGGAATTCTCAATGAATCAACGCTTCTGTAAGATTTCATGAGGGTAGTAAATGAAAAAGACAGAAATTGATAAAGAAATTTGTTTCTACTGCAAAGACATCTGTCGTTTAAAGACATCTTTTCTTATATTATACTTAATTACTTCTCTCCCTTCTTAGTACCTGAGTCTTGCTTTAGTTCTTTGATTGATTGATATTGTGTACTTACTGTTTAAAGCAACGTAATGCCAAACTAAACTTATGAAGGCAAGACATGGATGTATGGTAGACAGCGGTTTGCAGCACAATATAATGTAATACTTTAAGAGGTAATTAACAGTGGTAGCTGAACAGTGATAGGCACTAATTAACAGTTCTGGCAATGAGAGCCCCTGTTTTAAGTACTGTGAGCCCAGTTCAAAAGATGCCACTTGGAAGCTAGTTGAAAAGACAGGCATCATGTGCGCGTCACAAAGAAAATAAAAATACTTCGATTCCTTTCTGACACGTGGGATAGATAGATGAGTGTCAGAATGCTGCATTTTTTATATTTTTATGAGCGATACTGATGACGGGCGTAGCACACTTGCGACACAAAAGGAAGCACGGGAATTCGCCTGTCATATTCGCACATTCTATTCACGCGAGTCCCAGACACTTGAGAAGCGTTGAGCTGAGCTAAGCGTGAACTAGACGTGCACAATGCTACGAGCTGCCATTAAATGTCCTATGAGCGTGAGATGTAAAGAGCCTAAGAACCGAACCTGTCAATGTCGCCCATGTTCACTTAGCGTGGTTTCGACAAAACGATACCCCGAGAGCACTTCAAACATTCATATCAAGTCCTTCAGACGAACGCTTTGCATTATGAATAGGCGCAGCCGTCGCCTTGTCGCGTCTGTCCTCCCAGCGTCTCAGCACAAAGCGAATCAAAGTGCTGGGGCAGAACATAGGAACAGGTAAGGTATGAGCGACCCAGTTTAACGCCGAATGGATGACAAGAAAAATAATCAAATAAAATACAGTAGCGCTTTTTTCACGGAACCATTCGTGTGTTGAAAATTTACCGTCTCAGGCCTTTCTCACTGTCGGAAGAGGAAAAATTGTTGATGATGTTGCGATCACGCGAAAGAGCCATCGAAACATAGATGCGTAAGAATAGTAGGGTAATTGAAATAAATATGAAGAAATGAGGATGTGACGCCATCTACATGGAGTACCGCCATGTTATTTCCGATATCGCAAATTTGAGCGAATGTTTCGAGCTTTAGAGCTAAAGGATCAACTTGAAAGCTTTAGTTCATTACAGAATCCGGCTGAAGGGTCGGACGCTTCCCACGTTTACTCTTTATTAACTTCTTTAAAACACAGAATATTGTGCGTAGAATAGAGTAGAACTGATGGTAGCTTGATCTTACGAAAAAAAAAAAAAAGAAAACCACGATGGCGTGGTGATGAATACGTCACTGCTACACCATGCACAACTGCTTAGTAAACGTCTCAAATAACCTTGCTACAGCAAGCTTGGGCCAAGCTCGGGCGACCCTGCATAGCGCCCCACGACTGAAAAATCAAGAAAGTTCAAACAAAATGAACAAAAAGTATATGTATAGGCCCATGAGTGAGGAGCGAACAGAGACCGTTTGTGTGGCAAGCTGGTGTTCTACCACACTGCCATGCGTCGGCTTGGAAATGCAGTTTAAGTAACTTCTTTCCTCAGGAATGCAGTGAATATAACACTCAAGCATTGCCAACACGTGTTTCTGATATGACAAATACAGGCTTCACAATACAGTAATACCGTAGTAACACTGCGTAGTACACGCAATCGGGTATCAGTACATGTGGTTATCATAAAGATCTCGTGTTTGAAAGCCAGCCACCCATTACAAAAACACGCGTTCCTGCGCGTATTCTATAAGACCATGTAGGGGCTACATATGAAGTTCAAAAACATTTCACGCGCATAAATGCTCCTGATATGAAGCATGATAGCCATTACACAGAGTGCGGACATATGAAAAATTAGGTGATCTTAAAGATTCGCCTTTCGGAGTTGAACGCGATAGGGATATCCTGTTCCTAGTGTGCAACACTTAGTGCATCAAACCTTGTCGAACTTGCTATGCACCCACTACGTGGCATCATGTGAATAGGCGTAGTACGGTGTGTACATTTTGTAGTGGGTGACCGGCTTCAAACCACGAAACCATGAGGGTAAATCACGTGTTCTTTCGCCCACTGGCAATAGGTGCTTGTACGGCGGATTATTACTGCAATATTTTATGTTCCATTGTGAAGCATGCATACAGGACGTGTGTGTATGTGAAGCATGAAAACTACTTTCACCGCATTTCCAAGCAGAGGAAGTTTTTTCTCTTGTTCTGGCACGCAGACGCGAGGCCGTGTGGTAGAACATCCGCTTGCCACGCAAACGATTCGGGTTTGATTCCCACTCAAGCTCAAACGACCCTGCTTTGGCGTTCACTCTGATCCAGTCGCGGGATCAAATCTCGGCTGTGGCGGCTGCATTTCCGATGGAGGCAGAAATGGTGTAGGCCCGTGTACTCAGATTTGGCTGCACGTTAAAGAACCCCAGGTGGTCGAAATTTCCGGAGCCCTCCACTACGGCGTCTCTCATAATCATATGGTGGTTTTGAGACGTTAAACCCCACAAATCAATCAATCACTCTGATCCAGGATTTTGTTATCATCTATTTCATTTTGGTCGTTCTAGATTTCTCGGTCACAAATAAGATGAGGAGTTTTCGTTCTCAACCAACGACGCCGACACCGGAATTTATGCGAAACAAGGTCTTCAACGCTGTCGCGTTAAAAAGCTTCACTGGTAAAACCCACTTGCAACCTTATCGATTACATTGTTCTAATAGCCAATTTAAACGTCTACAGTAACGTCATACAATAAAAAGTGTGCACTAAGTGGTTGAAGTATACAATAGGGACAAGATATCACTATCACGTTCAACTCTCAAAGGCGAAGTTTAGGGGTCCCCCTATATTTATTGCACATTACTGCAGGTCACAACAGGCAAAATCGGAAGTGGAAAAAAAAACTTTAAAACAAGGTAAACAAGGTAAACAAGGTATCAGGATTACAGATAGATAACGCCACTATATTCTAACAAAGTTTTACGTTCGAAAATGTAATAGATACTAAATACCAAGTATATAAAGATGATAACCAAAGCACAACAATTTTTCCAGGGCCACTTAAAAGGTAGCCTCCTCAAAAATGAATTTAGAGAGAGCATTCACTCGGAAATTCGTGGTGTGAAAAAAAGCTATATATAAATGCGCAAGCTTTGAAAAATATCGGTTTCAGAACGTGCCTATTATTTTGTCGAGCTTTACTGGTGTCTAGAGGTTTCACATATGAATGCATTAGCATGTATTGACATGTTTTCACAAGAAAAAATCGGCTTCAGATCTCCGCAACCTCCCATCGTGTTGGCGGGCATGTGAAATATGCTAATAATGTAGGAACACGTGGGACAGGGAAGTGGCATTACACTCCGAGACTGGCGACACCTACCTTCTCTCCATTCCTGACAAAAGAGGACTATAGTGTGGCCTACGTTTGTGATTTATTCGGCAATAAATTGTCGCGCACTTGTCTAAATAGGACAAACGCAGAGGAGGAACAGCAGTGTTACATGTCAGCTACTGACGAAAACAGTTCACTTCCCTTGCCTGCCTTTGGGAGTACTCACCGGCTTTCCGTTGACAAACCAGTTCAGGAAAGGGGCAGGCTTTGAAGGCCTCGATCGACAGGTGGCGTTCAAGATGTCTCCCAGTTGATAGCGTCCACGCACACCTTCGATGACGGGCCCACGATCTGGCAACACTGCATAAACACCCAGGGCGCCAGATATGTGCTGCACCAAGCATCGGTTCTTAAACTTGACTATCACATTACTTGCGGAAACCTACAAACGCGCAAACGTAGTTTCATGCTTTTTCTAATTCTAGATTTAGTTGTATTGAGCACTCGGTGCTTTGCATACGAAGCATCAGCATAGCTAACACAAGGAAATTACTTTTTTGCTTATGTCTTTGCTCTTCCAGTTCTATGTTTGTGAATCAAGACTTTGTTTGCTACAGTGAACCTGTAGCAAACACTGTGAACAGGGTTGTTAAATATTGTCTTTCAATACTTTTCCTCAAGCTCTCGCCAAAATTTCACACAGGGGCAAAAGCGGTCGACCAGAGAAGACGTCGTGGGTAGAACGTGGCCGATCTACCACGTTTGGAAAGGCACTCGCACTTTTGAGTGGGTGTTTCTCAAGAAAGAAAAAAAAACATTCTCATCATGAAATTGCTTTATGCCGGGAACCAACAAAACTTTAGTGACTTACTTCCGTGACGAAAATGATGTCGAAAAAATACACACGATCAGAATACAAAGAAAGAAAAATGTCGACGGGAGTAGAACCTACAACGTCTTGGAACACGACAAGAAATGATCAATATTAACCCGCTGTCCACCACCGCGGTGTGCATCATAATCATGTCGTGGTTTTGGTCCGTAGAAGACAAGTAATTATCATTGTTATTATTCGTTCGTTCGAAACGAGATTACCTACTAAACGCGATTATTCTCACTTACTGTGAACTGATGTGTCTGGTTCTCCAGTTTCTTACCGCATCTACCAACATTCAATTAATAATCATAAAAATTCTGACCGTTAAATCAGCCGTTTTTGTGATTAAATTTTCACCATATATATATCTATAGATAGAATCCATATCTCCATTTTATATTGTTTTGTTTTTGTATTAAGTTTATTTCAATAAAAAAATTTACGGACAACCCCACTCAGTGGTGAAACAGGTGTGTTGCACTTGAAACTTACCGTTACAAAGTGCTATAGGGGGTGGGGATAAACAACAAGAGGGAAGGCAGGAGGTTAACCAGGCACATGCCCGGTTTGCTACCCTACGCTGAGGGAATAGGAAGGGGGCATAAATATGAGAGAGAGAGGAAAAAGAAGAGAAAGAGAGAGAGAGAAAAAAAAAGGATTGTCAGTCAATCGGCTGGCAAGTATGCAGCGGTGGCACTACACAAAAGTTAAAGGTGGTTACGTAGAGCTGTAGTCCTCAAAAAGCACAAGACAGCTTTGACTGCTTTTTGAGCCGACGAAAGGTGATGACGGTGTTCCAGTAGCATCTGCACAGAGAGTGGCCGATCGTCCAATTGTCGCAATGCATCCGAAAGCTTCTGTCTTTCAGAGGCAAATCGAGGGCAATGGCATATCAGATGACTGATGTCTTCTTTGGTGCAGCAGACGTCGCATTCCGCATTGTCGGTCAATTCTATGAGGGTTCTATATGTTTTTGTGAAGGCAATTCCCAACCAAACGACAAAGAAGTGAAGCTTCACGTCGACGAAGTCCGGATGGAGGTCGAAGTTCCAGTCGATGGTTTATTTGGTATAGTCTCGTATGTCTTATGCTTGGGGTGTTCCACTCCTGCAGACTCAGACTACGTGCCAGGTGATGAAGTTGCTTTGCAGCGTCAGTCCTTGACAAAGGAATCGGAAGGGTGTGCTCTTCTTGGTGCGATGTGCGAGCCGCGTTGTCTGCGGAATCATTTCCAGTGATCCCGCAATGGCCAGGAAGCCACTGAAACTTGACCTCGTGGCCTGTTTCTGTGACGTGGTGAACAAGCTTGACAACTTCGTAAGTTAATTGTTCATGGCAACCTCGTCGAAGGACTGACTGCATGCTATGTAGGGCTGGCTTCGAGTCGGAAAACACAGCCCACTTACTCGGTCTTTGGGATTTGATGTACTCTAGGGCGCCACGCAAAGCCGCAAGTTCTGCCGCCGTAGACGTAGTGACATGTGACAGTTTGATTCGCAGAGTGATTCCTCTAGCTGGAATCACCACCGCACCACCAGAACCAGATGCTGTGGTTGAACCATCGGTGTATATGTGCACGTGGTTGTTGTACATTTCGTGCAGATGGCTCAAGCTCAATTATTTTAGGGCTGATGAAGGCAAATTCGATTTTTTCTGTATTCCTAGAATTGAAACACGTACTTGTGGAAGTGTCAGGGCACCACGGAGGATACGCCAGTTTCTCAGCAGGCGTAAAACCTGACGTAAACGATGCACGATGAGCACAGACAATTGCACTAAATTTCGTGCGGGGCCTCTCAGTAGCGAGGGTTGCCAAGTGGTGGGAAGGATTCCTAGCATGTTGCCTGAGGTACGTACGCATCGTTTCAATGGTGATGTGCGTCATAATCGAGTAGTCCTGTGCAATGGCAATTGTTTCAGCTGTCGATGCGCAGCGGGGTAAACCAAGGCATATCCTAAGCACTTGGGCTTGAATATTTTGGATTGTGCGCAGGTTCGTTTTGCACGTGTTAGATATAACAGGTAGTCTATACCGCAGGAATCCAGTAAATAATACCTTGTACAGCTGTAACATAGACACGACAGACATTCCCCTACTTTTTCCAGCAAAAAACCTGAATAAGTGACAAATGGCAGTCAGCCGCTTTTCACGTAGTTTACGTGGGGTGTCCAAAACAAATTTCGGTCGATTACGACTCCCAAGAACCTGTGACTCCGGCTGCATGACACCAACTGCCCGTTAATTGATATGCCGTAAACGGACATTGGTTTTCTGGTGAAAGCCACTACTGCACACTTCTCACTTGCGATTTCGAGCCCTTGTTTGCGTAACTGGTACGATGTCACTGATGCTGTCTTCTGAAGTCGAGCGCGAAGTTGAAGTCGAGTCACACTTGATGTCCACACACAGATGTCATCAGCATAAATGGAAAGTCGTACACTGCTTGGTTGCTTGCCAACTAGTTCAATGAGTGTTAGTTTGAACAGCGTCGGGCTTAGCACTCCGCCTTGCAGGACTCCTCGGCTGCAGTAATACTCGGGTGTCGGGCTATTCTCTGTCTGCACGTAAAATGATCTATTCTGTAGGTAGCTCTGAACCCACGTATATATCCTGCCACCGAGTCCCACTCCTTCTAGTGCGCTGAGAATGGCTTCGTGGGTGACATTGTCGTATGCCCCTTTAACGTCAAGAAACAGAGCATCTGATAACCGTTTGCAGGCCTTCTGGTGTTTTATATATGTCACCAAGTCAACTGCATTGTCAATTGACGAGCGGCCTCGTCTGAACCTGGTCATGGCATCTGAATATATTTCGTAGAACTCTGAGTACCATTCCAGACGCGTTAAAGTCATCCTTTCCATAACTTTTCCCACACAGCTCACGAGGGCAATCGGGCGGTAAGAGGAAATGTCGAAGGGTGACTTGCCGGCTTTGAGAAGTGGAATCAGGCGACTGGACTTCCATTCCTGTGGAACCATGCCAGTTTGCCAGGAGTCGTTGTACAGCTGCAAGAGTGCCTTCCGAGCTTGATCTCCTAGGTGACACAGAGCGCGGTAAGTGATGCCGTCAGGTCCTGGCGCTGAAGAACGTCTACACAAAGCAAGCGCAGCCATTAGTTCGTCCATTGAAAACAAAATCTTTATTGGGGGATCACTTGAGGATACAGAAAAGTCGGGCGTCTTTGTCCCACTTGAATTTGAGCCGCAGGTAATCCTTCGACAGAAAGAATCTGCGACATCAATCTCTTCGCAGTGTAAGTGAAGTGCCAGAGATTTTAATGGGTAGCGCTGAGTAATGGTTGTACGAAGACCCCGGATAGTTTTCCAGATTAGTGACAGAGGCTTTCTGGGATCCAAAGACTCGCAAAAAGATACCCATCGTTGCTTGTCCAGCTTGTTCATGTGACGCTGTATTTTCTTTTGTGTGCGTCTGGCCACTCTCAGATCATCAAGTGACTTCGTGCGTCTATAACGTCATTATGCACGACGACGAATCGCTCGGAGTTTCTCGAGATCAATGTCAATATCAGTGCGAGATGAGCTCACCGAAAGCGAACGCGTCGTTGACTGTAGGGCACTCTTTATTGCGTCCTCTAGGTTGAAAGGTGAGGCGCCAACATAGTCTTCCATGATTAACTTGTATTTTTCCCAATTGGTGCGCTGGACGGCTCTGGAGGACTTGAGACTTGGAAATCCGTCAATCTTCTGGCATGTTGGGATGTGGTCACTACCCCTTGTTTCTAAATCCGAAAATCAGTGCACTCAACTGGTGAACGAGCGTGAGACGAAAGTGAGGTCCAGGCAACTGCTATAGTCCGATCCGCGCAGATAAGTAAGACCGCCGTCATTCACGAGGATAAGTTCACATTCAGAAGTGAAAGACACTAACTGTCTACCTCTAGTGTTGACCCTGGAGCTTCCCCATAAGTAGTGGTGGGCATTGAAGTCACCAGTTATCACCCATGGCTGGAGAGTTGAATTCAAAATTCCGCGCAAGCGCTCACGGTCTAGACGACTTGATGGATGTAAGTAGGCTCCGATGATGGTAAATGTGGTCTTCTTGTTTTTTACTGTTAGGAAAAGGTACTGGTTTTCTTCGTCAGGGGGTACAGGGTGACGAACATAAGTTAGGTAGCGCCGTATGAACACAACAACCTTGCTGCGCTCTCCGTGAGTAGAAGTCATAAAGCACTCATATCCAGACAGTCTCACCTGAGCTGACAGGTTCGGTTCACAAATCACAATTATAAAGAACTGGTTCGTGAATACATATTGCTGGAACTAGGACATACGCGCCCTAAGTCCTCTGGCATTCCACTGAAGGACCGATGCGTTCTTGACCTCCTCTCGAAAGGATAACATGTTGCGGGCCATCGTTTTACCTTAGAGCTGCAAGCACCGGACTCAAAGTGTCCAGCACTTGGAGTGCGCTCTGTGCTGATGGGGTGTTCATGTTGCTTAGGAGCATGCGCATTGCGCTCATAAGGGTCTGCAACATGTTGATGACCTGGCGATCCTCAGTTGTCTTTTCATCAGTGGTTCGTGATGGCATCGAGGTTGGCGGGAGTCGATGCGCCTCTGAAACAGGCTGTGTTCGTGGAAGGGATGGCCACTCTTCACGAGGTGGGAGTCTTGACCCTGATTCTGTTTTCGGTGTATCCGTCTTCGCAGAGCTTGACGATGGGGGGCCAGTTCTTCTTGCTTGGAATGACGTGTCTCTATCGGCAGATGTCACGTTGCGTGATGATCTTCTGTGGTGACGCCGACATCGCCTGACAGTAGCAGCGGCTTCCCTGTGCGTTGAATTGTCGCGCACCATGCGTTTCAGCGCGTTCATTTCTCACTCGTGGGCAATCTTTAGACGACGCTTTATGAGCGCCGTGGCAATTGGAGCATTTGAACGCAGTTGCGTGGCAGGTGTCTTCTGAATGAGGTTCGGTACACCGTGGGCACTTGACATTGCTGGTACATACTCCTTTGACATGTGCCATCGTGAAGCATCTGAAGCATTGTAGGGGCTTCGGTATGTCTGGACGGATCTGGTGGCGAACGTGGCCAGCTTTGACGTGAAGGGGAAGACTGTATTCCTCAAAAACAATCTTCAGGCATCGTGACTGACCAAGCCTTGCAATGTGCTTGATGAGGATGTCGTATGTAGTTGGCTTTATCAATATTGGGAAATCGTCAGCGGGAATGGAAATGTCCACGTCATAAATGACGCCAACACTGCCCTTACAGTCAGTGGGGATCACTGATTTAGCTGTGACTCTGTCAATTTCCGAGATTTTCTGTAGGCTTTGCAGCGCACTACGGTGTAGAACATCAACTGCCAGAACATTCTTCCGTGAGTTGATCCTGACGTCTTTAATCTCATTTGGAGCGAGTCCTTTGAGGTATGCAGAGAGGACTTGCCTGTTAAGCCGCCGTAGGTTAGCTGAAGGGTCCACAGCCATGAAGAGTATAGTGTGTGGCCAACGCTGCGCGGTAGCCTGCACGGCGGATGTACTCGTCATCGACGATGTTTGTATCAGTCTTCTTTTTGCATTGCGGCTCATAACGACTGTGTAGTCGTCATCCGATGACTGGAAACCGTCGGAATAGAGCTCCGTTGCCTCGCTGTCTGTGCCACTTGAGGTGGTCCCACGTTTCCTAGCCGCTGCCAGACGTAGCGGTTGTCCACCTCGAAAATCCCGAGAGGCTTCTTCATCCATTCTCGCAAGAAGGGAGCGGCAGCTCCCAGAATTTGCAGTAAAACAAAAAGAAAGTTTGAGATAAGGGTACAAGCGTTCTATAAAATAGACACTTCGTCGTCTTCCTACAAAGTGCTAACGCATAAAAAAGGGTTCGAGATTAACAGTGCTACATAGGACAGTATGTTAGGGTGTTCATCTATCCCGACTACAAGCAGAAGTACTTAGACGAGAGCCTCACCAAACGCGGAATCGGCCATCGGCGACCCACGGTGTCAGCGTCAACAAAAAAACACAGGAAAAAACATGATTATGTGTTGACGTCAGCATATGAGGTCCCCAAGATGTCACATAGTGCCATGATATGTGACGTTGTCATGACGTCAGCATGACGTCACGTTATGACATCACATAACGTGTCTTCAAATGTTCACGTCATCGCATGACACCACTGCTTCGTCAAAGGTGGGCCTATCTCAAATCAGATGTACAAAGCTCGCAATGCTTCTTATCAGGTAGTGAAAAACAACGTTGAGTGCACAAAACTTTCGGAGAGGTGAGGTAGGAAATGATACGTCGACTGAGAAGAAAAAAAATCCACGCATCTCTATGAAACGAGTCAGGACGAATGGGCGAAGCGCTGGGTTGTGTATCGGCGAATAATCGTACGTTACCCGAGCGTTAGCTCATATGTAAATATAATGTAAATTGAGTGAAGTAAAAGTGTGTATGAAATGCAAATTCGGTTCACCTTCCAGTCGTCATAGGCGATTCAAAGAGGATTGATCAAATTGCTGTAGTCTATGAAGGACATGCCTGGAAAGTGAATTTAAGAGCCCGCCATCATACCGGGGGCAAGATACCATTTTTATTAAGGGTAATTTGTTGGTACATACAGTGCTCGACGTGTGTCTCTGTGTTGCAGGTTTCCTTGAGAAGCCTCAACATCTAGGTACTTTTTAGTAGAGATCAACGCATCAATACTCCTCTCGATAGGAAGTTGTCGCCGCGAACAGTGATCTGTGACCTTATAATTATAGACTTTGTTGGCGATGACCTTTATTGTCTGAACCTTTTTTTTCAGTCTCACATATTTTCAGACCATAGCAACGCTTGTCAACCGTCACCACAATAAATAACAAGCCTAGGCCTTAAGGAGCTTTGCCCCTAAAATAACATCAGCTTTCGTATTTCAGTCGTATCTGGCGAATGCATAAGGAACTGTCAGTTTCCAAACCTGTGACAGTACTCTTCTAACGACCAATCTCTATTGAAGAACTAGGATTGAGTATTTTCAGTGCTATGTATGCCGTAAGTAAGAATGACAAGTTGTCCTGAACAAAAGCAGAATGACAATAACAATAAATCTGCGACAGCGTTCCGAAAAGGAAAATGGCACGAAGCTACCACCGTTCATGGAGCCAATCTTAGCAAAAACTGCAAATATATAGTAAAAAGCTGGCGTGCCAGCTCTGGTTATATCGGTCGCTTCACCAGTACATATAAATGCCACTTTCACCTGACACAACATATACATTTAAAGTAAAAAAAAAACTTTAACTAGCTTCATGTTGTTTAGAGCCAAACTTTTCTTCATCATATATCCTTTCATCATATATTCTTTCATCATATTTCTTCATCATCATCATCATCATCATCATCATCATCATCATAAGAAGAAGAAGAAGAAGCCTTTTGGGGTTACGGCTACCTTTAAATATTGTAGATACACTCGCTTCTCTGTTCCGTGTATTCATAATCCCTGTGACAATATTACGAATATAATAATAATAATAATAATAATAATAATAATAATAATAATAATAATAATAATAATAATAATAATAATAATAATAATAATAATAATAATAATAATAATAATAATAATAATAATAATAAGAAGAAGAAGAAGAAGAAGAAGAAGAAGAAGAAGAAGAAGAAGAAGAAGAAGCCTTTTGGGGTCACGGCCACTTTGAATATTGTAGATACACTTGCTTCTCTGTTCCGTGTATTCATAATCCCCGTGACAATATTACACCGAACGTTCTCGCGGGGACTACCAAAACATCGATATCACCACACGTAGAGGCACATTGAAGTAAATAAACACCGTAGCCTCCACGATTAGTCCTGCTATTACTCCACGTAGCCAGTGGTAATCGCGGTGGCCACGAGATCTCCCATGGCGTCACTCGGGTGTTTCATAACCAGTACGTTGGTATTTATAGAAGCTGCTATAACCTTGCGTGTGTGAAGTTTTGTGTGTGTGACTATTACGACACATCCATTGAGGCTAGTTAGAAAAGGCCAATTTTCTTTCAAACACAGGCGTAACAAAAAGCTTGACATCGCCCCTGATTGCAGCCGGGAGTTATATTTTCACTGACGTAAATCTGCACGTGTGGGAGTCTAATGAAGAGAAAGTGTCACTTTTACAAGCCTTTGGTACATTTCTTATACGGTACCGGTAATGCTTTTCAACGTTGAAGTACCAGGAAAGGAAAAAGTACCGGCGAATGCGACACAGTTATGAAAACGCGGCAAAGCTCTGCCACCAACGTTGCCGCCTAAGCAGTATTTATGAACTGTGGTTGCTTCTTTCGAAAGATCTTCAGTCCATTTTGTTTCTTGCAACACGTCTTTCCTTCAGTGTAAATAGCAGTTTAAGCGCTACAAATGAGAGAACCTGTGAACAGTGCGTAAACAGTGCTTGTCCTCATTTATCCCCCACCGCCTAAAAAAAGCACATATATGATTGCCTCTAGGCGCCTTCTGGTGGCGAGTACGTGAAATAAGCGATCTTCCCGAAATGAAGAAAACGACGTGTATATTTCTTCATTTTCCCCATCCACATGGTGTAGCAAGATGTTGAGTGGAAGACGCGAAAATATATAGTCAGGCACTGGGAAAGAAAGCCAATTGGATCTAATTTTCAGTGCATCTCTAGTATATATATATATATATATATATATATATATATATATATATATATATATATATATATATATATATATATATATATATATATATATATATATATATATATATATATATATATATATGAAATACGTAACATACCTAAATGAAATACCTGGTGCAGAGTGCCGCGAGAAGGCAGTTTTTGCTCTGCGGGTCGAAACCTTGAGGGAGTTTCGGGACCTGAAGTGATGTAACAGTAAGATTGCCTGGCCTAGTTGTCAGGCTGAGAACGTAACAACCTGATACTGCTTCAAGGTTTTGCGGTGCAGAGCGAAAACAGGCTGCTCCTATGCTCTACACAGACGTGGCCGAGACTGTACGTTGAGTTTTGATATAAGTCAGGCCTGGGGAGAGGAGGAAGAACTTGCCCGTCTCCACCCATCACAGCCTGACCAAATGTGAGTGCTAGTGACAGCCAGAACTTTGCTAAATGGGAGTGCAGCAACATCCCATCCGCGACAGTGTTGTTTTATTGGCTGGCGTCTTGGCGGGGGCTGTGATCGGCTATAACAATAAAGAAAGGGGCCGGCGTGAGCTTCATAACGACGGTGCTAAGTGACAGAAGACGTTCGGGGCCCTGTGAAAATGGCTTGTTCAGTTCACTTGTCAGCTGAACTCTTGCCTTTTTTCAATGTATATGACTTTGTAAGAGTGCTATAATCTCGGTAGTTCTCGTTTTTCTAACTTTGGAGCATCAGTTCGTCAACCTGAAGACTCAGTCACATTAGCGAATGGAGTCCGTTTCTAACGTAAGCCTGAGGCCAGAACACACAATTATTTTGGAGGCTTGTTTGAGAGAACGTAATCTCACCGTATATGTTGAGGTCCTTCTCAAAGATGATTGTACGGAACTCTGGTCCCTCGGTGGACACTTCGCAGCCATAGGTGCCTTCGCTGTTAAGGTCTGTGCGGTCCAAGTACACTCGGTTATGGTTGGACTTGGACAGCTGCAAGAGAGTTCAAGAGGTTGGTCCAAGTCGGTGTACAGCACATGTACAAATTCCACGACAAAACGTCTTCTTGGGCTAGTTGGTTCATGATTTCTGAAGAAAAAAAAGTAGCCTAAAGCAAAACAATCACATACATGGAACACCAAACTGCCGCTAACTTCCAACTGAGTGTCAGCAGGACATCATTTCCAGAAACAGCACATCACAACATCACAATAACGCTACATGATTTCGGTGATTGCGCGTATGTTCAACAGATCGCAGTTTAAGCAAAGAGATACAGCTAAAACAAAAACTAGCAGTTTTTTTTTACTTACGGAATACAACCGATGAGCGAAGCTCCTTAAAAAAATCACAGCATATCCATGGACTGAATGATGATGAGGGGGGCGAAGAGTGCTTCAGTCCGTCCGCGCTTCCGTCCATTCGTTCAGATACAACGCTACAACAGATCGCAGTTTAAGCAAAGAGATACAGCTAAAACAAGAGTTTTTCGACTTACGAATACAACCAATGAGCGAAGCTCCTTAAAGAAACACAGCTTATCCTCGGACTGAATGACTGATGAGTGGGGCGAAGAGTCCATCAGTCAGTCTGCGCTTCTGTCCATCCGTTCGTTCTTGCGTCCGTCTGTTCGTGCGTCCGTCCATGTGACTGTCCATGCATCTGCCCGTCCATGCGTCCGTGCACGCATCCGTCCATCTATGCGTCCGTCCGTGCGTCCGTACCTGCGTTCGTCTGTGCGTACGCCGATCCGTCCACGCATTCGTGCGTTCGTCTATCCGTCCATTCGTGCTGGCTTCATGAAGGAGGTAGGGTGGTGAGCGGGTAGGGACAGCGTCTGCTGTGCTCGGTGGCGGAAACGACTGAAATTTTAGTTGTCATTATGACGTCCACGTGGCGTCCCTGTGAGGTACCATGACGTAACATCACATGATGACATCGACACGTGACATCTTCGCTTGGTCAAAGGCAGACCGATCATGGAGTCCATGCAAAACAAGGTAGGTGCAGAACGCTTACAATGCCTCCGATCTTACACGCAGTGCAAATCTACTTTAGGTGTGTAAAGGCTTCGATAGGTGCCGGGGCAGCAACAATGCACAATATATCGAGTGAGAGTGAGAAGGAAATTACGGTAAGACGTTGGCGCTGGACATCGACGGTGAGACATTGGCGTCTTTGATGAGTGCATAAAAAATCCCTTTCAATTTTTCGCAGCCAGGGAGCTCATGTTCTAACGTATCTTCGGCTTCGGGGTGACAAAAAGCATATGCCGCCGACATTTGGCATGTACTCACGTTTACGTAGAGCCCAACGAGGTCGTACTTCTGGCCTGGTGGTGCGTCGCTAGGCAAGTACCTGTAGAACTCGACGTTGTTCTTGTACCACTTGACTGAGTACAGTTCGGCGCCTTCCAGATTGTACTCGCACAGCAGCAGGACAGGTTCACCGCTGATGACCGCTCCGGGGACGTCCACACGCTCAAACCGTATGCTGAGAGCACCTGCAAAGGTAACACGAATTGAGTTTTTATGTAGATAAAATGGGTGCATCGATTACGCCTAAACCGACCGACCGACCGACCGACCGACTGATTAACTGATTGGTTGATGGATTGAATGGTTGACTGACTGAATAATTCTGTTTAACCCTTGTGAACAGACTCCTTTCTGAGATATTTCGTTTTCGTTAAACAAATCACGTTGTACTTACTCCTAAAGTGTTTGTATCGCGTTTCATATTGAAATTTTCTTTGTCTTACATATATTCGAGGTTAGTCACGACATTTAGAATTGGCATACACATTTACAATTCTACTTAAATATTTGCATCACCATTTCGAAAACCCAGGATATGTTTGCCTAGCGATATGCGTAGCACACTACTTCACACGACAATGACGATGCATGGTATGACCCGCATGTAAGAAAGCGCAGTCAAATCATGTGACGATTATAGAACCAGTAATGAAAACATGCAGACAAAACTGCACAGCAGTTGCGAAGCCGGCGCATTCGCGAGAATGGGGTGCTCGAGCTCTTCCTTCCGAACTTTAAGGCTTGTCGTGGCGAACAATAACCTCAAAGTGTACAAAAAAATCTCTACGTCAAAATACCAAATTTCGCACGCAGAGATCTAAACTTTATTTCTCGAGTGCCTTTGAAGCCCGAATCTGGGTCGTCCCTGTCTAGAACGCAGGAAGGCGAATGCCAAACTGAGAGCTAAGCACAAAGCCCTCACAATCGCTCGCAAGGCATACTCGAGCTACACAGAAAGGCAGGCTGCGCCATTTTGAAACGGTGGGTGCACGTCTTGTGTCCGCAGGGTGAACGGGAGAGTGAGCTGAAAGAAGAGAAAACTGACGCGCGGTCGTGATAAATATTAGGCACCAAAACGCGAGCCCAGACGTAGCATCGGAAATCTCACCTTCGCAGAGCAGAAATGCGAGCAGTTTTTTTTTGTCACGCACGGGCCAAAAATGCGAGGAGCACGTTGATTTACGAGCACGCCGGTCGCCTTAGGTGTGGGCGTCGTCCATGGACGAGCGTGCGTCTGAACGCTCCCCCGGAGACGGAGCCCGGTACGTCTGGAATCTCCCCGACGCCTTTTGTTTCCTCTTCGGTTTCTCATGAAGCTTTAAGTGTAACGTAGCTGGCGGCGCAATCGTTGGCAGTAACAATAAATCAACGGCGTCGTAAGATGCGGACTCCCTTTCTGGCGGGCGCTGCGACTATGCGCCGCATCACGCGACTCTAGTGGCCAACAAAATCAGCGTCCGAAACGGAAATGACAAACGCGTCTGCACGTTCTTGCGTCCGAACATTCCTTTCGAGAAATTGTGAGAGTTGAAGATTTCGAGGGGCTTGAGTAGGACGCGCCTGTTCCTCTGCGCTGTTGATAAAGGAAAGAGGAAAGAAAGGAGGGAAACGAAAAGGAGAAGGCAGAGAGGTGAACGTTAAACATGCCCGGTTGGCTACCCTACTCTGGCAAAATGAAAAGAGGAATAGAAAGAGAAAAAAAAATAAGTGTTTTTTTAAATATAATTCTGGTGTCTTTTCGAGACCACTGATTTTCGATCCCTCTAGCAAAAAAAAAAAAAAAGAAACTTTGAAAGTACATAGTCTTTAATTACCTTTCCACAAATAGTCTTTCTGTTTAAATCGAACACGTGACGCCACGAATGTCAATAACGAGAAGCAACAGATTACCGACAATGCCGAATATTCAGGGCTGCATCACGAACGTTCGCGAAGTCGAGAATAGCAACAACGATGAGACAGGAGCGGAAACAGCACCCAGACATCAGCTTGTAGGCCGTTCCAAGCTGAGAATGTTCACCGATGAAGACAGACAGTTTAGAAAGGAAGGGCACGAAGGGACGAAGAAGGTGGTTAAACGAAATTCAAGAAGAGGCAGAGCAGACCATGGTGAAAATGCATGCCTGGAAGCTTATATAAGAAGTTCGTGGTATGTGCATGCCATTTAGCAGTTAAAATAAAAATTATGTCTCGTTTCCCGCTTTTCTTCGCGCATCTTTTGCGAATTCGCTCAGTAGTTTCACTGTCTTGATGGGTGCAGTTTCAATTCATTTCGACTGATCAAAAAAAAAAAGAACTAAGTTGCAGAACAGCAAAACAGTGTAACATCAGAGTAACGTTTGGAGCGAGAGAGAGAGAGAGAGAGAGAGAGAGAGAGAGAGCGAAAAAAAACAGAGGTAGAGAAAAAAAAGATATACTCATAATGAAATACTTAAAAGCTTAGAGGTCAGACTGAATGAATTTTAGGGCGTGTTACTCAGCGTTAGGAAGAGGAGAAGGGGTGGAAAAGTGAAGAGAGAGAAGGTTTGATGATGATGAAACGAAACCTTGGTTATCCAAAAACAATTTACAGTTCCTTCTTTATTCTGTACCCCGCAAATATTTATTCAAAGCTCACGAAATGTTGCGAAATTTTAAAGAAATCGCACTTCATTTCAAACCCATAGACTGAGCCATCTCAATTAGGATAAATACATGCACGAAGCTGAGAATTATACCGCAGCGGCAGTACAACGCAGTTTGGCGCACAGGGTCAGAGGCATGCTTGTCCAGCAGCGTTCCGATGGCGTTATAGAAGCAAGCGAAAGAGGGACGCGAAAACAAAGGGAGCTCGGATCTGAATCTAAAATAGCACTTAACATGCAAATGCCGGCTGGTCCGGCGAAGCCGCGGAGACAACGCGGGGAGAACCCCAGCTGGAACCGCAGTGGCTCTTGTACTCGCTAGTGCTAGTTTCGGGCCCGGAACAATCCATCAATGAAAAGGAGTGCCTTACTTGAATCCCGCTCACGCCAGCCTGGAGCGAGGTTTCCGACCCCATCAACGTAACGCGACGGACACCCGGGAAAGTACAGCGTGGGGTTAAAGCCTCGCATAAGTGTAGCGAATGTGTGTCGAGAGGGCACTCGAACTGCATAGTTCATAGGCAAGGTTTGTAACCTGCAAAGGACGACGTTGAGCGATAGGTGCAGTGCCTAGGCAAGGCAAGACGTTGTCGGGGATGGCTGTGAAACCATGTACAGCAAATAGATGAGACTTCATTGATCCCGCTCTCAATTCTTTATGCACATAATTTTGATGCGCTGGTAAGAAGGACCAAGAATTTGCTTTAGACTATCGAATGGTTCAGGAACCACGAGGAAGGGAACAGCCTTTAGACCCGGGCTCGTGTAAAATTGTTTCAGCTTATGCGCACCAGCAGGAGCGCTTACCAGTGCTGAGTCCTGTGAGAATATACGCGAAAAAATTAAGCTAGAAACAGCAGGAGAAGAAAAAAACTAGAAAAAGATAGGAGACAGAGGCTAGCCAGTAATCAGACCAACTGGCTACGTTGCACTATTATATATACGTAAGAGATTGGTGCAGAAAAATTCCGAGAAAATCATCCTCTTGTATCAGAGGCAGGCCAATAGATTTTGAAAACTCCTGCCGAATCAATGCGGTGGGATAGGTGATGTCCATGCCAACAGCGCTGCTCGATCAGCTCCTCAAGGAGACCGGCTCAAGGCAATAACCCAACCAAGGACTGACGCTCAGTAGCGTAGCCAAGGGATATTTCCACCTTCACCCTTGCTGACCCTGCTATCCAACTTCGAGGGGGCGCACAAGATATTCTCTCCTCGGAATACAGCAAGTGGACTCCACAACTAGCACCACCATTCATAGAACACGTTACGTCTTCAAGCACCTGCTGGTCTACACGAAACCTACTGCTCTACTGGCCTACTCAGACTTATCGTTCATAGCTGAGAGCGGCTTCCACGATGTCATTCTCTTTTCAACTTGGAGTGGCTGACAACCCTTTCTGTGACAACTGTGGTAGCGAGGAGATATGTCAGCACGCGTTGTGTGACTGTCCTCGTTACAACGCGCAGAGATGGTCCCTCGTGATTGCTCTAGCTCGCGTGGACCACAGACCGTTGACGGCAGAAACCATTTTGGAACGTCATACTGAGAGGTCAGCAACGTTGAAGGTGACGAGGGAAGTACTAAGATTCTTGAATATATCAGACTCTCACCGGTGGTTCTAGACTAATGTGTACAGAATAAACTGTGAATGCTTAAGAACGCCTAATTCTACCACGGCAGAGCCATAAGCTGTTTCGGGCACACAAATCTGTGGTGCCTGCGTTTTTGCCTGCGCGCCATCCCACTCTCTTTATGTTTATCTTTAAAGCTCCTCCATTACTTTCCGCAGCGTAGGGTAGCATACCCATCCTTCTAGATTTGTTAACACCCCTGCCTTTTTTTTCGTCTCCGGTTTTGTACTCTCTTTTATAGAACTGACCAATGTCTTATAATTTCTTAGAGAAGGAAAGGAACTCTGCGAAGAGAGTTCGGTAACGCTTTCTCATATCGTAGAAGCAGGCAAGAATTATGCGAAATACATATGCTGTTTTCGCTGCAACTACAATGGCAATACGAACTTGGCTTTTGAATTGGCATGTCATCTTCTCAACAGTCTCTAAAGCGTTTAGTTTCAGCTACACATTATGCCATGTCAGTGGTAAAAAAATATGTGCAATATTTTTTTTTATTTATACATATATTAAGCCCAGAAAGATTGTAATACTCACAAAGTGCAAACAACTTATGAATTTGATTAGTCTCATTCTTTCCTCTCTAATATGAATGGGCCACCCAAAATAAACAATTTCAGGTCTTTTCTGAAAAATACAAACCGCGAAATTTTTATTACAGAAGGTGACTCGTGGGGGACAGTTTGAGAAAGTTTCCTAGAGCACAAGAACCAGTAGGTCTCTAAGACTCATCCGTTGCTAACAGAGCTTTCTACCGAGGAAATAACCATAAAATCAATTATACAATGTTTCCGGCGTGAAAAACGAGAATTTATGGGGGTGCCACTCTACCCGGGGCACACAGAACTCCCTCGTACACCGCGGGAGCAGTGGCAGGATGGGGCTGAAGCAGAAGGAGCACGGGATGCTTTTCGCGCGTGCTTAAA